CCAACCCAGCCCAGCACCTCGAACGTGTAGTTGGGGCACGACACGAGAGCGAAGAGCGGGCCCTTGGGGATCGGGCGCTCCTTGGAGCCCTCCGCCGGACGCATGTTGCGCAGCTGCACGTGCACGCAGAGGTTCAGGAACTCCGAGACGCCCATAAGCGCCAGGCCGGCCTTGATCTGAAGATCTGACGTGGGGCCGGCGTACAGCGGATGGCAGAGCGGGTAGCCCACCACGGCACCGAACGACCAGTAGTAGATGCAGTTCTTAAAGAGGTTACGCAGAGGCATAGTGGGGCGACTGAAGCGGTGCACGAAGAAAGTCTCGAGCTCGCGCTTGAGGAAGTGCAGCGACCAGGCGGCCACGCCCAGCAGCGCCGTGTGGCTCAGCGGCTGCGACGCGGCCTCCGCTCCATAGATGAAGGCCGGACGGGCCGCGTAGCCCAGTACGAAGAGCAGAGGGCCCAGATACTCGGCCACGAACACGGTACGGTAGCCGATCTGAGGGCCCAGATCGCGGAACACGAGCGTCGAGCCGCTCTTGACACCGTAGTCCACCAACAACTTCGAGTCGTCCGTAAGCGGCACGAGCGTCTCGTCACTCTGCTGCAACTTAAGGCTCTGGCGGAAGCGAGACACACGCGCATGCTTCTCGAAAGCGATCTTGAGTTGCCCCACGGTGGGGGCTGAGCCCGCCACCTCCACGGAGCCGTAGTCCTTGGCGCGCTTGCCTGCCTTGATCACCTTGACCTGCATCGTTGGAGCTTGTCGAATGACTCGGAAAAGATCCCTCAAGTACGTCAGGTCTTTGGTGTGTGGTTCTCGTGAAAGGCAACTTAAGGCTTGTAGCAACGTTACAGCAACATTAAATTGATCCAAGTTGCATAAACCTTTTCATCTTTTCATCCAATAAGAGGTAGATTAAAGAATGAATATCGACCAATTATTGTCACACGCAGCCCCAGCCAGCCGCCCGCTGTGAATGCTCTGGTGGCCAGCCAAGTGACAGTCATTGCTAGACAACAGAGACCATGGCCGACGTGACGATCCGCAAGGGGCTGCGTAACCCGCTGGACGAGGCGCAGGTGCGTCGCGCTGTACTAGCGTTGCGGACATTCGCGGCCAAGAAGAACGAGGAGCGGTCCAAGGCGACGCTCGTGGAGGACGTCGACTACGTCTCATGCATCTTGACGCGCAAACTGGTGCCGGCCAAGGCGTCGCTCAAGCCAATTCCAATGTAATACTCGCTTATTAGTCTGTGGCCAATGCTGGCCATGGATGGCCAAAGCCGGCCACGTTTGTACAGCGCAGTATTTCTGACTCGTGTGGCTTTTTCATTGTAGCACGCTGCCGCACGCAATGTACGATGAGTCGGCCGAGATCTGTCTCTTCGTCAAGGACGAGGACAAGAAGCGCATTAAGGAGGCGCTGGCCAAAGACCCCGTACAGGGCGTGACTAAGATCATGACGGTCAAGAAGCTGCGCAAGAACTTCCCGCGCTTCGAGGACAAGCGTGCGCTGGCGGCCGCCTACGACATGTTCCTGGCCGACGAGCGCGTGCTGCCCTACCTCAAGGGTCCGCTCGGTACTACGTTTTTCGTCAAGAAGAAACAGCCCATCGCCGTGCGCGTGTCCCGCAAGAGCGTGGCCAACAGTGTGCGTCTTGCTTCCCGGCGTACGGCCTTCCACGTCAGCGCCGGCGTCTGTAGCAACGTCAAGGTGGCGCGTCTGGACATGGATCCCCAGCAGATTGTGGACAATGTCATGGTGGCCATGAACAACTGCGCCAACCTCGTGCCCAAGGGCTGGAACGGCGTACAGTCGATCAGTGTTAAGCTCGCGGATTCGGTGACGCTGCCAGTGTACAACGCACTGGCCTCGCTGGCCAAGCTGCCGCCCGTCGGCAAGACCGCTAACCTGAAGAAGCGGAAGCTCGAGGAGTTTATTGCCGAGGCTGATGCAGAGGAGGAGGCTCCCAAGACCACAAAACAAGGCAAGAAGGCAGTTGCGGCCAAGAAGAACAAGAAGCAGCAGGCTGTGGAGGAGACACCGAAGGGCAAGAAGGCCAAGAAGGTGGCCAAGGTGGAGGCAGCAGAGGAGACCCCGAAGAAGCAGAACAAGACGGCAAAGAAGGAGGACAAGCCAGCAGAAACTACCGCTTCCCCGGCCAAGAAGAAGGCCCGGGGTAAGAAGAAAGTGTCGAAGAAGTAAGCTCCTGATCTGTAATCCACTTGGTCGGAGTAGATAGATGATTTACACAACATACACGTACTGCTCTCACTTCAATACGGTGTCGTTTGTGACTTGTGTAGTGCCCGGACATGTCCAAGCCAAGCTGACGACCTAGTTGTGATCGTTGTGGCCTGGTCTAGGTGTACAGGTCGCCTTCAACCGCTTCAACTTTCCGTGCTAAGATATCTCGCGAAACTCCCCGGCCGGCCACGGCGACTGCTGGTCCAGTCCAAAACAAGACGCCGGAGGAGCAGGGAGAGCATTTCGCGTCACCATGGCGATGTTCAGTGCCCGCGGGCTGAACAACTTTATCAGTGAGTTGCGCGCGTGCACGTCGCGCGAGGAAGAGCAGAAGCGCGTGGACAAGGAGTTGGGCAAGATCCGACAGAAGTTCACGCAGACAACGAGCAATTCGGGGCTGGGGAGTGGCGGGCCGGCACTGCAGTCGTACGACCGCAAGAAGTACGCGTGGAAGCTCATCTACATCTACATGCTGGGCTATGACGTGGACTTCGGCCACGTGCAGATCATCAGTCTCGTGTCTGGCACCAAGTACTCGGAAAAGTGTCTGGGCTATTTGGGCTGCTCCATCCTGTTGAAGGCCTCGGACGAGCTCATGACGCTCGTGATCAACTCGATCCGCAACGATCTCAAGTCACGCGAGGCCAGTTCCCAGTGTCTCGCGCTATGCTGCGTGGCCAATCTGGGCGGCGCCGATTTAAGTGAGACCATGGGGCCCGACGTGGCCGGGTTGCTCACCAGCTCGTCTAGCATCGCCCACGTTCGCAAGAAGGCGGCACTGTGTGCACGTCGCCTTCTGCCGGATAACCCGGAGCTGTTGCCGGTTGAAGACATGGAAAACCGGCTGAACGACCTGATGGGCGAGACGCACTTGGGGGTTGTGACGTCGGCCGCGAGTTTGTTACAGACGTCGCTGTCGCTCCACCCGACGGCGTTCCGGTCGTTGATAGAGCCCTGTATCCAGCGACTCAACGCTCTGGTCACGCACAAGAACTGCCCGCGTGACTACATGTACTACAACACGCCGTGTCCGTGGCTGCAGGTCAAACTGCTTCGTATCTTGCAGCAGTTCCACGCGAACGGCGCGTTGGATGCCGATTCGGCCGACGGCCGGCTGAACAATATGCTGAACGAGACGCTGCACCGGGTGCTGGCCCGAACGCCGCCCGGCAAGAGCGCCAAGAACAACGCCGCCTACTCTGTATTGATTGAGGCCGTGAACCTCGTCATTGCTCGAGGCAAACCTGGTGGGGATACGGAAAGCCCGGCGTACAAGCTACGCGAACAAGCTGTGGCTCTGCTAGCCCGCTTTATCTCCGTCACTGAGCCCAACATCCGCTACGTCGGGTTAGACTCCATGTACCGCATGGTACGGCTCGACGGCGACGGCACCAGCGTCAAGCAGCACCAGGAGACTGTGCTCTTCTCGCTCAAGGACGCTGATCCGTCCGTACGCCGCCGCGCATTGGACTTGCTGTTCGCCATGTGCGATGCCTCTAACGCCCAGGAGATCGTGGGCGAGCTGGTCAACTACTTGGCCGTCGCCGAACGCACAGTGAGTACCGTGCCGACTGCTGGACCCGCCAGTGGTATCCGCGAGGAGATCGTGCTCAAGGCGGCTATTCTGGCCGAGAAATATGCACGCGACCTACGCTGGTACGTGGATACGGTGCTTCAGCTGCTGACAATCGCCGGTAGTGAAGTGCCTGACGCCGTGTGGCACCGTGTGGTGCAGATCGTCACTAACCGTGAGGAGCTACAGCGCTACGCTGCCGAACAAATGTTCAAAGCGATGGAGCCTCGCTACGTGGATGAGACAACGACCAAGTTCGGCGCGTACGTGCTGGGCGAGTTCGGGTATCTTCTGTGTGACGACGCCAGCATGAGTGGCACGCGTCAGTTCGAGGTGCTGCACCAGCACTACACAGACGCATCTGTGCCCACCAAGGGTGTGCTACTTACGGCGTTCGTCAAGATGGACAACCTGTACGAAGAACTGCGCTCCACCGTGCATGGCGTGCTTGCTAAAGCCGCGAGCAACATGAACCTGGAGATCCAGCAACGCGCGTGCGAGTACTTGGCCCTGCGTCAACTCTGCCAGAGCTCTCCTAACGGTGAAGAAGTGCTGCGTGCTGTGTTGGAGCCGATGCCGGTTTTCCCGGAGAACCGCGAGTCCGGACTCATCGTCCGTCTTCGCAACCAGCAGAAAGCTGCAGCCGGTGGTGACGGCGCTGTGCTGCCGGAGGAAGGAGCGACATCTCCTCGTGCGCAAACGCGAGTTAGTGAACAGCCAGCGGCGGACACGGCCGTGGACTTGCTGTCTCTGGATGAACCGGTTGCCCCCAAAACTTCGTCAGCGTTTGCCATGGCTGGCCAGGACGCTCTCCGCGGACCCAACCCAGCCTCAACGGACTTGGGCGATATCTTCGGCGGCTCAAGTGGTGGCAAACCTGTGGGCCTCGATGCATCCTTGACGCCGCAGATTGCTGTCTGGGCACGCAACCTCATGCTGAACCCGCAAGGTGTACTGGTCGAGAACGACGTGCTGCAGATTGGAGCGAAGCATGAATACCGCGGCTCACAGGGGCGGATCAACCTGTTCTACGGCAACAAAACCACCGACACACTCAACGGTTTTTCAGTGCAGCTGGAGACCGGTAACCATTTCCGTGCTCAGGCTGATGAGCTGCCGTCTCAACTGGCAGGGAAGCAGCAAGCCAAGCAGCAGATCATGATCGAAGCGATGGCACCTTTCACGGAGCCACCGACGATGACGGTCAACTTTTCACGCAACGGCACGAGCTACTCGTATCGGGTGGCGTTGCCGTGCCAGGCCACTACCTTCATGGAGCCTGTGGTAGTGAACGAGGAAGCCTTCTTGCAGCGCTGGAATGCACTCGAAGGACAGGATCGCGAGCAGCAGGAGGTCGTGTCGGCCACCAGCAAACTGGACCCGACACAGGTACGTGAATGGCTGAGCACGAACCTGAAGTTCGCCATGATCGACGGGTTGGACTCGCAGGCCAGTGGCAGTTTATCCTGCGCTTCCACCTTCCGAACAGGAGCAGTGGGCCCCAATGGCGACAAGCTCTCCGTGGGCTGCCTGGTCCGTCTCGAAGCGAGCGACGGCAACGCCTACCGCATCCGCGTGCGAGCGGTGCATCGCGACGTTAGCGTAGCGACCAAGAACTGCCTCAAGATGCTGCTTCAAGTGTAGAGTAGCAATAGCAGTCTTCATCATCTATAAATGAAGTCCAAAAGGATATTAACGTTAACTCACTTTCTACCAAAATGTTGATGTGGTGAACCTGTTGCTTCTCACGGAGCATCCAAGGCAGTAACGATACAAAACTTCCGTGAACGTACTACATGTAGTGTGCAACGTCAACTCGAAGCCCACGCAGTCACAACCGATCCTCTTCAACGTGTTCAGTTAATACGTGTAGCCAGACTTTCAAATGAATGTGAATGTTCAACCTGAGTCGATAATTACTCGATCAATTTTTGAGATCGGCTTTTTGCACTGTCAACTTGTTGAACAAGACATGGCTACGTGAGCAATCTATTGTTGAGCGAGTCGCTGCGAGGCGGATACCGCCGTATCATGCTCTTGTTTAGGATGGGAGCCTGCCCCATTTAGCAACGAGGTCCTGCTTGACCTGATCCTGTTGTTGTTCTCGTTTTCGGTGGAATCAGTCCGACACGTCGAAGCTGTCAAAAGTCAAAGCTTCATCATCACATGTACTCGTCCACTATCCGTCGTCTCTACGGCAGCACAGCCGAGAACGGAGCGAGCTTTCACTCAACAACCTCGAACGTAATTGATGGCTTGGCGTCGATGATTGAGCCTGGATAGATAGACGCAGAACCGAACTGACCCGCGCTTTGACACTTTGGACC